GGAATATGGCGCGATTTGACCACATCACACGGCATGACAGCCTCTGCAAGACCGCCATGCAAGGCACTGCTGAAGGCGGATGCAAGTGGGAACGGAAGATGGTATGATTTGGCCACGTCACACGGCATAAAAGCTTTGCAAGGTCATCATGCAAGGCCATCATGCAAGGCACTTTTGAAGGCGGACGCAAGTGGGGGCGACAACGCGAAAGCTGGCCAGACGTCATCAAAGAGTGGACGGACATCACAATGCCGGAATTCTTGAGAGGCACTGACAACAGATCATCCTGGAGGAGATTGTCTGGTTCTTCTGTCATTAGTTTATTCCCCCACCCACCCATGGCGACGATATAAACAGTCAATGGACTGACCATGATCATCATCAACATCATCCCTGATATAGTATTAACGAAAATGTGATAAATTGTTATCTGGCGCTCATGACATGTATTGAGAAAAGCGTACGGCTAATCAGTCACAAATTGGGGGTACAAAATTAACAAAAAAGTGACCAACTTATTAGGGTCATTTTTGGGGGTAGGTGAGGGAGTTCAGTTGAAATATTTCCTCTACTTTTTTGCTCATAGTCTTACAATCTGGATGCTGAATGTGAATATTTACCACAGATTCCGTACCCATCAGCGTCGAAAGACAATTTCTGATGGAATTTTGGCATCTACTGAAGCACAAGGTCCATGGACACTGTGCCACCATATCTACACTCGTACCATGGACTGTCACACGCTGTAAAGCAATGCTAGCTGAGCTGAGCCCGCCTATGCACTGTCAGGCGTTGTGTCAATCTGGGCGGCACTTGTCACTCTGGAATAAGCATTTTATATATATATATATATATATATATATATATATGTGTGTGTGTGTGTGTGTGTGTGTGTGTGTGTGTGAATAAAGATAAAAGGAAAACTCATCTTAGATGATGTGTTTTTGTTTATTGATTCATTTAGTTTGATTTCCTTTTGTCTTTTATCATATTTTTTTACTTGCATATATAGTCTGTCTACATTTTTACACACATACACATACACTCTCTCACACACACACGCATATATATATATATAATCATTTTAATCTTTTTTTCGATTTTCTTTAATTCTTTATTTTTCTATTTTTTTTAATGTTTAAATTTTATTTTATTGTATTTTTTTGTTTTTTCTTCTTTTTTTTTATTTTCTCCCCCTACGCGTCAGTGTGTTTGCCCATAATTACACATTTTGTCCTAATCATTCTAACCTATCTGATGGTCCCGTTTCGAAAGAAAGAAAAATCAGAAAAGGGGAAAAATTGAATGCCTTTGGCTAGATGCGAAAGTGTCTCGTCAGTATTCTCATGACTATTCTTGCTTGATAAATTATCTGAACTTGGAATTGTTTTCGCCACCATTCTTTCTCCTGTTCTTAATTTTTATTGAAAGCATGCCTCCCAGGCCCACTATTTGGTGAGGGTGGTGGATTGGCCGTTGATCCCCACCCCCCACCAGGTCGATGCTTGGACTTAAGGTAAGCTGTACATTCACTTGTCATCATGCGGAAGAAAGCGGCCTAACACTCGCTGCCACGTATGTTGGGGCATTTATTATGACATGGCAATAAATCCGGATAACCTTATTTTCTTCAATTTCTTTTTAGAATATACAATGAGACTTATACTAAGTTAAAACTTAAAACTTAATGTTGCGAAAGGGTAAATGCAAGTGTCAGCCAGGACTCTTTGCAAATTACCTCCCCCTCTCATTGTTACCTCTGTTTTTGTTGTTGTTGTATGTGTTATATGTAATAGGAGTAGGTAGGCTTTCCTACCGCCCGGTCCACACTCCCCCCTCCTTCCCTTGGACACGAGTAGAGGCTTACGCCTTGTTTCTTGTTTAGGAAGGGGTTTCCGGTACTCTCTCTCTCACTGGTCTCTGTATCTCCATTTGCCTTGATCTATCCACTACTCTTCTCCTCATCCTTTCTTCTATCACTCCTATCTGACCTTGCTCCAAATTTTCTGTAACCCTTTCCGTCCTAGTGGCTTTCCGCCTTGCTTGGGGTGAAACGCTTAAAAATATATATATATATATATATATATATATATATATATATAAACAATGACAATAATTGCCGGACTTCATCTATTTCAATATATGTTGTCATTGTTTATGTTAAGCTACGTTTAGTGAGCAGCTCTAGCATCACTCCTTCATAGTCAGCCTATGAACCCGTGTTCATATACGGAAACCGTCATTTGATCTGACGTGCAATACCATTTAGCTACAGAGAAGCGTCCGATTAGCAAAGTTTAATTTTTTAAACACACAATCTTCGATGACATTTCTCGATCGATGTTTGTGTGTTTATAAACAGAATAGCACATCAGATCAAATGACTCTATCGAAAGTTTTACACACACACACACACGTATAAACACACAAACAGGCACACACACATACACACAGACACGCAGACACACACACACACACACACACAGACACATATATATATATATAACAATAATAATAATTGTCGGACTTAATCTATTTCATTATATGTTGTCATTGCTTACGTTAAGATACGTTTCGTGAGCAGATGTGATTGATTGAGAAAAATTGTCTGAGATGTGATTTTAAAAACATCAATTTGTACTTTGGTACAATTTCTCTGTAGCTAAATGGTATAGCACGTCAGATCAAATGACGAATTCCGTGTAGGAATACAGGTTCGATTCCTGTCGGAGAACATATTTTCTACGAAAGGCCTTAAAGTGGTCTGTTTTTCTTTAAATTAAATTATATATATATATATATATATATATATATATATATATATATATATAAAAAGGCACAAATTATCCAATTTATCCTCACCTGGATATATATATATATATATATATATATATATATATATAAATAAAAAAAAAAACAGACCTGTTCTTATAGATATTTTATTTTTAAAAATAGTTGTCAATGTTTTTCATTTATTAAAATTAAATTATTTTCGCTACATAAAAATATATATAAAACCCTAATTTATTTAAAAAATAAAGCATTAGGGTATTTTGGATTTTTTGAAATGAATGGTTGGAACTGTGTAGCGAAAATAACCATATCCATAATTTATAATATATATATAATATTTTCGTATACTTTTTTAAATTTCCTTAAAAGTTTGTTTTATAAATATTATTCGCTCTGATTTATATATATATTATCCATACGGATCATCAAGATTTTTCGTTACTTAAATAATTTTATATATATATATATATATATATATATATATATATACTATTGAGTGAGACAGGGATACGCATTCTTTTTTTTCTATATTTGCAATATATACCTTTCGTCCAAGAGGCCCAGGTTCGAATTTCTCTATTATCGATTTATAGATCTAACAATATTTTCTTGGGACTTGTTGGGAATAGCCTGAAAAACATACCAAGTGTTGATTCAAGTAAATGACACTGTTTGAATGGAAAGCTATCGACGATGATTATGCTAGCACAATGCCAGAAGTCATCGTGGCCGAGGGATTTTAGCATACCAGCCTTGCTCCAACTGCTTATCATGACAGAATTTGAACGTTTTGCCCAAGGATTCCAGCTAAGGCTCGCTCGATGAAGTTGAAGTATAAACCACTGGTTGTCTATATAGGTACCGGACAAACAGAAATGGGCCTGAGCAATCGTCTACAACAGGGATTAGATAGCTACTCTCGCATACATATTTTCTTGGAGCACTCAGTCTCTGTTATATCGTGCATACGAATACAAGGTCTCATCATCCGACGTCCGAAATGGCTAAATGTAACCGCAAGTCCTATGCTAACAGTTTCTTCTCTCTCACTGCACATTTGTGGAGTTCTCTTTCAAGTTGTCTCCCCCAGTCGACTTTGAATTTAAACTCTACGTCCTCTGTCTTCTTAATCACTTTTAGTCTTTTATTTTTCTTCCTCCTTTTTTTTCTTATCATATTCTCCTACACCCAATACCCTCACCCTCGCGTCTTAGTTGCTCTATTGCCTTTCTTGGATGAAATAATAAAATAACCATTTTTTTAACACTCTTAAAACAGAGCATTTACTTAAATAAATTGTATCTATAAAATAACGTATAAACAGAATATATATATATATATATATATATATATATATATATATATATATATATATATATATATAAAAGTGAACATAGAAGTCAACACTTCGAGGCCTCTAAGTGTTGACTTCTATGTTCACTTTTATATTTACACACGCTCTATCTCTGATATCGAGCACTTTATCCCATAAATATAGCACACCTTAAGACTATATTTCTTCATATACATATATATATATATATATTTTCTCTCCCATCATTTTTCAACGATTTCACATTTAAAAAAAAAAATCACTCATCTCCAAGGAAGGCGATAATATCACTAAGACGCAAAGAGTTACTGGGATTAAAAGATTTTAGTGAGGAAGAATGGACAATCAAGGAACAGGGTGATAGAAAATGGAGATTGGCGTGGTATTTAAAGTTTTTGAAGATCGTAGGTGCCAGGGAACAAGAAACCGGAAGTGAGTTCAACAGTCAAAAAGCGCGGGAAAAATAAACAATTGGAATAGAACAGATGTTTACATCGCGCCTAGTTCAACAGTAAAATGGCGAGGCCTATATTATATTGTATTATACGATTTACTGCTGGTGAGCCTGTCGCACTAAATATTATTAATTATTATTAAATATTAAAAATGACTAAATGTGTTCATATATCTTGTAAACATATGCACAGGACGACATACAGATATCGAAAAGAAACATTATTTTAGTTGTTTCTTTCTTTTTCTTTCTTTTTTCTTTCTTTTTTCTTTCTGTCTCCTCATTTTTCTTTTTCTTTTTTTTTTCTTTGCTTGATTTGATTCTTTTCTTCCATTCGTTTTCTTTTAATTTTCCAGTTTTTTTTCCTTCTGTTTTATCCTCTTTTTTTTTTTTTTTTTCGTTTTACATTTATTTCCTTTATAATTTCTTTCGTTCATTCTTTCTTCGGTTATTTCTTCTTTCTTTCTTTCTTTCTTTTTCAACATGTTTGTTCGTTTTTTTCTTTTCTTTTTTTTTTGTTTTTTTCTTTTGCACGTTCGGAGTTTTTTCTTTCTTTCTTTCTTTCCTCTTTTTATTCTATCGTATTTTCTGGATTCTTTCTTTCTTTCTTTTTTTTTCTCATTTATTGTTCTTTCAAACGCTTAGATTTCTTTCTTTCTTTTTTCTTTCTTTCTTTCTTTCATTCTTTCTTTCCCTTTTTTATTCTTTCGCACTTTCCGAATTTTTTCTTTCTTTCTTTTTTCTCGTTTTTTGTTGTTTCGCAAATTTTGTATTCTTTCTTTCTTTCCTTTTTTATTCTATCGCATTTTCTTTCTTTCTTTCTTTCTTTATTTCTTTCTTTCTTTCTTTCATCCTTTCTTTCTTTTTTCTTGTTATTTGTTCGTTCGCCCGTTTTGAGTTCTTCCTTTCATTCTTTCTTTCTATTATTCTTTTCCCTTTCCAGTCTTTCGCACGTTTTGAGATCTTTCTTTCTTTCTTTCTTTCTCTTCAAGTTTTTTTCTTTCTTTCATTCTTTCTTTCCCTTTTCATTCTTTCGCACGCTTTTCATATCTTTCTTTCTTTCTTTCTTTTTTTATACTTTCGCACGTTTTGAGTTCTTTCTTTCTTTCTTTCTTTCTTTCTTTCGTTTTTTTCCTTCTTTGTTTCTTTCTTTTGCCTCCCTCCTAACTGCTCGGCCTACCAATGTTATAGCATCACTTCCTTGGGGCCCCACCCTTCGTTTCTATGCATAAACATGGCAACAGGGGTAGGCATTTCGACCGAATTTTTACCCCATGTATTAGTCGTTAATGTCACGTCGACATTTCGAAAATGGCGGGCAAGGGAAATTGTTTAATTTTACCTTTATATATATATATATATATATATATATATATATATATATATATATATATATATATATATATATATATAGCTCTATGTGTTTGTGTTTCAAAAGACAGATAAAACGTATGTTAGATTTCTTCAGTTTAAAGTGCTTATTTATACCTCAGTCTGCGAATTAATTATTCTGACAGTACGTGCTTGTTTAATGAGCTTGTGTATTCGTTAATTTCATTTTTAATTAATAAGCATTATGCATATAATTAATTAATTGATGATGTCACAAACACACACAGATATACTTAATAGTTGACCAATTAAAATGACTATTGCACTGACAACTTAAGCCGACTAATAAAAATAAAATTAAAAAGAAAAAAAAAAGAATGAAAGAACCACGCGCAAATGATACGAAACCCACCACCCACTTGTGAATACAGAAATGGAGATAACTACGCCTCGGAGGGTTGGGGGATGGAAATGCTTAACTGACAATATAATCTACCAGGCAACTGTAGAGACCAAAGGTGAATCCGATCTGTCTTTTTTTGTGGCATTTCTGAAGGACTGTGGAAACAAATATTCTACAAACGCGAATGCGAAACTTCTTTCAACGTGAAGGCGGAATGCTAAATAGTATATCACGGTCTACGTGCTTGTGGGAGTTGAAAGATAAAAAAAAGAATTCCTTGTAGATGGAATGGAAAATATTAGGAAAATCTTTGAATGTAAAGCTGGATCTAATGGATGGATACATGTCTGGTTGAAACATGACGCATTTTAGACCCCCGCCTCAAACAGACAAGAATTATTTTCTAAGTGTAGATACGAGAACGAATAACTAACCTGCTACCTAACACCCTGACATCGACTAAATATTCATTACTTCGTCCATATTTGTAAGGTCATGTATTCAACCCGAAGCTTTTAATTTGAGCATGATATATATATATATATAAAAGAAAGAACAGTAAGATATAAAATCCAGTGTTCTTATAGATATTTTAATTTTTACAAAATAGTGCTCAATGTAAATTTACAGGCATTAATTAATTTACATTGCAAAATTACAGAGCATTAATTAATTTACATTGCAAAAATATAATAAAATAAAAAAATAGGGGCAACAAGGCAGGAAGCATTGACAGATTTAAAGTTGGGGAAAGGGACAAAAGGAAAAGGAAAAGGAGGGGTTCCCCCAAAGGGGGGGAAGTGAGACATTTTAATATTGGGGGAAGGTTTCGACAAAAAGGGGGAAATCCACCCCTAGAAGCAAAACATAAGTTAGGGAACCAGGGAAAAATAAAAGTTTAAAGAAAAATTTCCAAAAAGAAAGGGAATTAAAAATATTAAAAAATATATATATATATATGGGGATTAATATATATATATATATATATATATATAAAAAATAAAAAACCTTAAACCAAACATTATTCCTGGCTTTTTGGTTTTAAATTCCTTTTTTTTCCCAAACATTCCCTGGTTTTTTTGGTTTTTTAAAAAAAATTAGGGTTTTTTTTTTATATTTTTTTATGTTAAATTTTCCACCTAAATTTTTTTTTAAAAAATTTTCTAAAATTAAAAATTTTTATTT